CTCCTCCTCCTCCTCCTCCTCCTCCTCCCCCTCCTCCTCCTCTTCCTCTTTCGAATGTTCGTGATTTTTCGCGTGCAGTTTTTCCACTGTCTGGATTTGGTTCAGGATTTGGAGGTACATCACCTGGTTTCTATCTTCCACCTCAAGGAGTATCTGGATCTGGTGCGCCACCTGGATTATATTTACCGCTTCAGGCAGTACCAGGAACTGGCATGCCGTCCGGATTCATGCCACATGGACTCCATCCACCGTCTGGTTTTGGTCCAGCACCGAGATTCTATCCACCATCTCTAATTACAGCTGGAGTCAGTGCACCATCTGGAATCTGTCCATTATCTCAGGCACCACTTGTCAATAACATATCATTAGGATCCCTCCCACGACCTCAGTCGGTACTGGGAACCGGTGTACCATTCGGTTTCAATCCACCACCTCAGACTATATTTGGATCTGGTGCACCACATAGATTTCATCCATTATCGCAGTCAACATTCGGAACTTTTCCAATGTTGCCCATTCATCAGCAAGATTTGAATCGTGACAAATGGAATCACATACCAACGGCACCTCAATCAACAGTCCCTCTACCTGAGCCACCAATTAGTAGCGAAATTTTCGGTTCCACCCCAAGTATTTCAACTTCTACCGCTACTACCGCTATTCCACCAACATTGCCAACTGGATCATCATCTCAGGTTTCTCTAATTTATTTATTTCACATTCATATTCAATTAATTAATATTGCAATAAGAATTTACCAGCGTGATGCTACACATCAATAATTCTACAGTTTATCATGTACCGAAAGTTTTTTTTTCTCTTTTCGTTATATATTATCATCGATTTAAAAGTTATAAAACATATAAAATATTTTCATAATTTTCACAAGACGATTTGAAAATTAACTGATATAATTGAAAATGAAATATATTTTTCTCCGATATCGCCTCCTCTCCTTTTCCTTTTTCTCTCATCATATCACATTTCTTATCAATCTTTTCAAACAGAAATCTTTATTAGTATGATATAAATTAAAAAATCCTCATTTTCATTTAGTCACAAAATAAATGAATGAGATTTTTTTTATTGCAGCAAAAAATGATTCAATCCCGATGGTCAGAATCAGACAATGAACAGGATAGAATCTCTCGTTCCGATCACTGTACAACAACTACCAATATACCATCCATTGAATCTTTCGAGTTTACTCCACAATTTACCCTTCCTATTATACGACTATATGGTGGTTTATTTGTTCATAACATTGAAGAGGTATTTGTTTCTCTTTCATTCTTTTTCCCAGAATTTTTATGAAAGTTAAAAATTTTAATTTAAGCAAATTTGAAACATTGAAATTGCTCAGATGAATGTATGTTATAATAAAATTGAACATTTTACTTCTCTGCTTGTCATATTGAATAATAACAATTGAGGATATTTTGATGATTAAATATTTTTGCAACTAATCAGTTAAGTAATAATCGCCATCATTTTAAAGTAATTAACACTTCGGAAACTTTACAGTCCCATTATGTGACAAATGTTTCAATGCCTACTCTAATATGATAAAAACTATTTCATTTTTTGGTAAGACTACTATTATTTCTTTTTCTTGTTTTTTTGTTCTGTATTAATTAATGATTGGAGGAGAAAAACAAAACATAACTCGTCAATTTTATTTAATCAATTTATACAAAATCGTTTTTCCGAGAATGAAACGAGGTAAGGGAAAGAAAAAAAGAGACTTCATGAGAAATGATGCTATTTTATTTAAAAATCAAAAGATACTCGGATAATTTTCAGGGAATGTTAATTGTGAATCAAAGATCAAATCAATGCTGCCATATTTACAACAATCTTTACTTCCCAACGTCTTCTTTAAATGAATGATTAATTATCGATCAACTTGGCTTATAATAAGGCGCTATGAGCCGATTCATTTTTTATCATTTTTTTTTTAATTCTTGACCAGCCGACAATAATCTATCGTTTCCTTCCTTATATTCATATTTGAAGGTATTCATCACGTCAACTGTCCAACTATCAATCTGTCCTTCCCACCCGGTTTGAGATATAATTTGTGGTAACCATGCATTCTTATGTCATTTGCACATTTGTCAACCGATCTCTCTTGCCATTGTCAACCTATCCACCACATTATCTGTGCAATTATTAATATATCAAACTTCATAATACAATTACCTGCTCACATAATTCATATAATCTAATCAAATTTCTTTTTTTTGCAATAAAATCTCCTTTATTCGGTTAATTTCATTTAATAGGAGATGGTCATCATGTAAATTTCAATAAATTAATTTTGATAAATATG